TCATTAACTCGGGGCACAACTGTAACAGGGCAGCAAGACAGCAAAGCAACTCTGTTGAAAGCCTCCTCCCAGCCTCCCTCTTCCTGAAGCACAGTAGGACTTCTGTCTTTACAGGACATTTTCAAAAGCATTTAACAGAGTTAAACCTCACGGTTTAAGTCACAGGCTAAAATCCTGATCAAGCAGGGACTTCCTAGTTCCGTTTACAGGGAGAATAGCACACTGGCTATGGCAACTGTATGTTTTATCAAGAAAGACACCATAAACACAGTTAAGATGAAACACTTGGAATAAGGTATAAATAAAAGCCATTAAAAGTACTAGTGTTTTTCATACTGACTTTTCCATGCTGCCAGAGCTGTAAATACACAAATGTGATTTTACCAGAATATTTACCCTTTGGCATGTTAGCAGGAGACACTTGTGCCTCCCATTTCCCCGAGACAACTGCTTGTCCTCTCTGCTGTGTGACAACGATGTGCCATGCAGACTGTGTCACCCCCTCATCACTGCAGAAGCCAGCCAACACCCAACAGCCGCTTTGCGCCTCCAGAAGCGGCAGCCTCCTCGTCCCAGCTCTCCTGCCGGGGGGGCTCATGCCGTAAGCGAAGCAAACGCAGCCACAGCCTGCGCTGGGCAGGGCAGGGGCAGAAACATCCCAGCCCTCTCACAGCAAACACCCCTGCTCCATTGCAGCGGGGGTCAAGCCCGAAAGCCATCCTTAGCACCTCTGTTACTACCTCCTGAGGCAGGCCCAAGCCCCACAGGTGTCTGCATGTGAGCCCTCCACAAGACCCTCGCACCAAAATTGCACTGGAGAGAGCTTCACAAGGAGCAGCTGAGCAGGGCTGGCTGTGACCTCAGGGGGCCCTCAGTCCCCAGCGAGACCTAGGAGCTGCCCAACTGTCCCAATCCCTGTGCATGCTACGGGTGCTGTACCTGTACCTCCCCTTGATGCCTGGGCCATTCCCCAGGCAGCGGGCACTGACCAGACCCCTGCTGCTCAGGGGACGTGGCTGCAGAGGCAGCTCTCACGGGCACCTGGCCGGGCTGGCCACGGTAGCCCAAGGGCAGGGAGCTGCCCCCTGTCCCTGTGCTGCATTTGGGCGAGAGCTGCCCATGGCGTATGGGAGGGTGATGAGGTTACGGCCAAAGAGCTGGGTTTTTTTGGTTTTTTGTTTGTTTCTTTGTTTTGTTTTGTTTTGTTTAAAATGAACCCAACCTTTTCCGTTAGTAAGGCACTGTGTGTTTATACTCACCCTCCACAATCCCGTGGAGTGTCAAACCTGGCCAAAACAGGTACTGTCATCCCAGTACGCCCTGGCCAGGCGTGGGCAGGCTCCCTTGGATTGCAATGCTTTGAAGAACGGATTAAAATGTAACAAAACAGCTCAGAATGACACTAGCATATAGAAAGGACCCAGAACCACCTGCTCCCCAACAAATTTAAATGCTGCTTTTTCTTTTTTAAAAACAACTCCTACAATAGATGCCCAATACAAAATTAGGTGTCACCATGTTGTGTCGTTCTAGCTTTAACAGGTTTAAGCGGTTGTTTTTTCCCTTTGAAATTAATGCATCGCTACAGGAACACAAATCAGATTGTTCTCAGTGTAAACGTTGCCAGCAGCTCCTATTTGACCACAAATAACACGACTAAGACACCAAGAACAACATCTTATTTGTCACTTGTAACGAGGGCAGGTTATAAAAAGAGCACTCAGATCCTTTGATCATAATGGTTCTGTTTGACCCTTTCCTCCCTGTCTTGCTGCTCAGACACTAAGCCACTGGAAAGCTCTGACCTAGCACCGTACTGCAACTCCTTGAAGAGCATGACCCCGCAGATCAGAGAGAAGGGGCAGGCTTAGAAAAGTCTTGCAGGATCACCCGCTGATGAAAGATTAAAGTCACCGCGCTAGCAGCTAGCGAGAAGTAACATGTTTACAGCTGGCATGAAAAAGGAGAGTTGGGCTAGGAGTCTCATTCCAGGAGAGAAACCATCTGTGAAAGCATCCATGCCCTTTTCAGACACAATTATAAGCTGATCGTAATTGTGCCTCAACCCCATGTAATCACTCGGGCCAGTAATTACTAGGAATACAAACAGGAGCTGCACTGAACTGTGAACAGCTACAAGAAACAGACATAAATGTGTTTCCTCTAAGATTGTATCACATTTACTCGCTGAATGTAAATTCGCTAGAGGCACTTCGGGACGGAAGATGACGCAGCAATTAGAATGAAGTCATACACTTACCTAATCATTGTACTTTCATGCCATCAAACTTAAGTCTACTCTTTGAATGCTTAGGAGGGAATCAATCTTGAGCATACCTAGACCAGCAGCAAGACTGCCATGTGTTTGTGCTAGATGTAGGTGTGTGATAAGAAGACTCTCAGTCTGATAACTGCTGAGACTGTAAATCAGCAACCTCAACCTCAGCTAATCCTTGGGCTTATGCCAGGATATCAGTTCTACATAATGAAGATGCTTTTCAGGATAGCTGTGCAATTTTCTTACACATGTAACATAGGACTGCAGGCTCAGTTTGTTAATCTTCCACCACTGCAACGGGGAAAACAGGTTTATCCCCAATGAAAAGGAAACATTGAACACCACCAACTCACCAGCCGATACTTCCTCTGCATGGTGTACCAGTTTCCTCCCCAAAGGAAATCTGTGGTCTCCTTCCCATAAAGCCATAAAAGGACACTGGGGAGGGTGGAAAAGGGGGAGATCCCACTTGAAGCCCATCTCTAAATCCCCTTACCGAATTAAGAAGGGGAAGAAAGAGGGGGTATGAACCAACACACATCTGTTCTTAGGCCAGCATGACTTCTTAAGAAGTCATTTTTTAGAGAAGCTATTTTAGCTGTGTACCATATTTTGTTAAGTATTGTAAGACAAAGGTGAATCTGTCATCCTGGAGGAGCTGAAAACACAGAGAGACATTCCCACACCACAGCAGCTGTACCATAGTGATGCAGAAACCACTTCAAAGCAGCAGAGACCACACAGAGCCAGCTCAGCTGTGTCACCTGTGCTACCCAGAGGGGAAAAACAAACCACTTGAAGGTGAGTGCATGGAGGGTCCTTCCAGGCTCCAATCAGGCAAGGCCAAGTGTCTGCTGCCCCTCAGCACAGAGGGGTAGGAGACAGATCCCACAGACAGAACATGCTAGCCGAAAGACCGCAGCAGCATGTTTGTCGCTCAGCAAGCTTTATTGGGATCTGTGAATGAGGATACACATTGATGAAAAAGCTCTCAGACAGGACAGCCAGACACTGATGACCGAGCCCCCTCTGCAAGCACCCTCATGGAAGCATCTTCAGCTGGGTCAAGGAGACTCCCCAGACAGTGGGTGCAGGCAACTCCTCTCAGCACCAGAGATGCTCTGTACATGACTACCAGCTTGGTCAAAGCTTTGATACATTCCCTTGTTGATATACAGTCCCTTACCTGCAGTCACCCAACCTGTATGTAACACTCTAAACTCTGTGACTGTACATTCACAGCACCATACAAAGCAGGGTCTCTTCTCTCAGAAGAACTTACACAGTTATGCAAGGTTCATACATGCGTGCCACAACTGCAAACCACCTAGCGCGACCACAGCTAAAATTACAGCTGACTGAAAATTTGCTACATGCAAATTGGAGGTTCCATAAACAAGAAAAAATATTCACAAAAAAAATAGTTCCTATTTGTCACTTTAAAAAGCTTTAGAAGGCATTGTCTTGCTGTCCCTGTGCCCCAAAGTCCCTGTAGTAACTTGAGAAAAGAGCCTAATTATGGATCATGATTCTGACTCTACTGCTTATCAAAGAGAGACCTTTGAGAGAACACAAAAGGCAGTCTGTAAGAAAGGAAAAAAGCTGGAAGTACTAACATAGAAGCACATCCTTGTCCTTAAACCCATCCCTACTGCCAAGGGCTTCAACTTGTGTTGTGCTAGCGCTTTTCTGAAGAGCCCTAACATTAGAGTCGCATTCCACCTCTCTTTGCTGATAAGGGCAGGGACTTGCAGAAAACAGTGCTATACTGTCATCTAGGAGGCTTGTTTTGATGTGCAGAACAACTGCGCATTTAGAAGAGGAAGATGACTGCCAGCTTCCCAAAATCCCAGAGAAGCTCAGTTTATTAAAAGAACTCGACTTATTCATCTCAAACCAATTCCTTCTTTATGGAGAAAAATACCTACTACTGTTATTCAAGTAAAATACTAAAAAGAAAACCTTTTCTCTTCCTTCCCTAGAAGTTAACTACAAAAAGACCCAAACAAAGGAACCCAGGAAAACCCAACATCACGCTAGGTCTGAGCTTGTCTCTTCCTCTCAGAGCACGTGGAAAACGCTGGAGCTCTAGGTTCTCCTGCTAACCTGGTAGCCAGCTCAGAAAAAGCACTACACAAATATTATGTACAGAGTACAGCCAGTTTCCTTTAACACTGTAGCTCTCTAAAAACAACCCTCACAATGACTTGACTATTTTCAGTTGAAAATGGACTGCACATTCTTAAATGTATAACACTTATCAATTTCCTGCAAATGGAGAATCAGCTTTGTGAGACTATCAAAGGGAAAGGGCTGACACCAAGTGTTTCACAGCCATTTATCTCTTCATCTGTGCTACACAAGCACCTGTGCCAATTCTGAAGTATTTCATCACTTAGGACCTCATCCTGCCACAAGTCAGCCAGAGGCTCAACTTTACGCATTGCAAGCTGTCCCACAGAGGTCAATGGGACAACTCGTGACAAACTCACTACCTCCATAAACCTCTTCAGGCTAGAGCCTTTATTTAGATATTGATATGCTGAGCACCCAACAGCCTATAAAGTAATATACACCAGCCTAAACGTGCACTAAATGCTGATAAGTCAGAGTCATTCTGTCACTCAAACACCTATTATGAGTGTTGTCAGTCTCCACAAAAGGTGCACCAACCAAAGCTCAAAAAGTGAAATGGTTAAGGTAGACAAACGCCCTTTCAATCAAGTTTTATTACAGATTTTAACACCTTGCAATTATTCCCGGACAACAGGCTGATTGTAATTGCCTGCAGACTAATTAGACCGAAAGACTTGACAAATGGCAATTTAGAAGCAATTCGACACTCAAGGGCATTGTTCTTCAGACTGGCCATCCCATTTTAATACTGTCCCCAAACAAACTACAGTTCCTAATGAAAATTCTTACGTATGTACAATCTTTTTTAGAAAATGGAAATGATACACACACACTCCATTCACTCATTCTAACTGCAAAAGAGGGCACGCTTTAGTGTATAAAGACAGCTAGAAACACAAAACTCATACTTTGAGGAAAGAGTCAGCGGTGGTGCTCGCGGCATACCCTGCACGTGCTTTCTGGTATTGCAATGACTGCCGGTGCTTCGGCCAAACCCAGCTATCATGCTGTTCCAACTTTGAAGAATGTTCACACTCGTTTTGCTTCGTGCTGACCGGGAGAAGGAAAAAAAAAAAAAAAAACAACACAGAAAGTAAGAGACCTTACGTGTGAGCTCAGCACCTGAGAAGTAATGGGAAACAATTAACTAGAATTCACAGTATCTGCAGTGGTATCAGCACAGGCTAAGACAGCTCATCAAATCCAGCAGCATTCTTCACAAGGGATTTTACTAACCCAAAACTTTAACACATGGTGCAGAGTAAGTTCCTTCCCTACAGGCAGCATACACACCACTTCCCAAGCACCAGCAGTACTTCTTATGCTTTTAGTGCGACAGACTGAGATTCTGGAGGCAGAAGGAACAAAGAAGTAAGGAGTTAGCTGTAGATACAAAAACCTATGAGGAATGAAAACTCTTTAGTTTAGACTGCACTGGACCCACAAGGATTACTAGCACTCTACTCAGTTTCATAAAGATAGGTTCCATGTTTTGATCAAGCAAAACTAGCATTAGCACCTTCACACCAGTTCTTTGCTGAAGTTCTGAATGTCTCTAAAAAGAAGACGGAGCAGACTGAAAAATTACTCATGTATGAAGATCAACTATGCAGGATGGATTGATATAATGGAATATACTCTGGCTGCTGTGAGAAAACTTAAGGCTCAGGCTTCTAATGGCTTAATGAACATAAATGAAAAATAAAGTAGAACTATACGTTACACTGGGACAAGGAAGTGTTTCAAAACAAAAACAGTCGCTATCTTGAAGAAACAGGGCACCAACGAAAGCAAGCAGCTGAAAAAGAAGAGGCAGCATTTGTTTCCTAGTTAAAATTTTCATCTTTGGTGCCTGCTCCAGCCTCTGTTTACCGGTAACAGCTCGTTTCTCCAAATCTAATTTCAAGGTTCAAAACTAAAACAGTCCAAGTGAAGCTGCTACCACTCAGCAACGAAAAAGTTCACATTGCTTTTGATGTGGAAAGCTTAACTCCTCCTCTTCAAGCAAGCGTGCACTAAAAAGGAAAAGGAGACTGCATCAGCAACATTATTCTGGAGGGACACGCTGTAATTTCACACACACACAGAGTCAGTGTCAGAATGCTGCTTTAATATCATCTGAATGATGAAACAAGGGATATTAAGAAATCCACAGGAACACAGTAAAAAGACTTACTGTGTAACAACGCAATTCTGCTACACAAAGCACAGCAAGACAACTACAGTTTTTTCATGTTTACATTTTTAAGTCTAGAGGTCAGTATACTTACTGTTACATTTAAGATTAAAAAAGGGGATGCAAAGCTTTAAGACAAAAGAACAAGCAAAGAAAGTTTGTGAAAAAGGTGTGGGAGGGAAGGTTTCATTTTGGATTTTTCGTATTGTTTAGTACAGTTTTGCCTAGAGTGCTGATAGGTGTCTGAAGAAGTGTGAAGCATTAAATGGTTTGAAAGGGTATAATCTAAGCAGAAGTCAAACTAAAGAGGAAACGAAGGTTAAAAGCTTCACTGTATAACCTTCCCCCTTCCTTTCTTTCCCTCATCAAATGCCATACAAAATTCAGATAAGGAGCTAAAGCTAGCACTGACAAAGTTTTTCTTATGGAAAAGGAGGATCTAAGAATTATTTAAACTTGCTGATGACTTATATTATTTAAGGATTACCTGAATTTCTGAGTAATTCATATACTGTACTCAAGTAAGGACAAACTCAGTGGGCTAAGTCTGATAAACCACGGTCAACTACATTTAGATACGCTATCTCCTTACAAAGGGCAACCTTGGACTTCAGATACAGATCCTAAGAAAGAGCAGTCATAAGGATGACTTCTCTGATGGAACGGTATGGAACATAATGCTAATTTAAGACAAGACAGGATAAAGTTCCTGAGTCTGAAACAAAATATTGAGAACTCCCCTGTTCCTTTCATTCTGAGAGTCACTTTGGTCACTGAAGGGTGCGATGTCAAGCACATTTGCTTCTCTTCTACAAATGAAGCCCCGTGTCAAAGTCGGCACAACAAAATTCATCTGATAAAAAGACTCATATACACTGTACGTCTGAACAGTAACACCATTACATTACCTGCTGTCTGAGAAAAGAATCCTAGAATACATACTCCGTAGAATGAGGAAAAGAATTAATTTCAACAACTAAACTAGATGTTTAAATCCAAGGAGTTCCATGGTCCAGGGCGATAACATTTTTTCCTCCTTAAAACAGGATGCAAGTTACTACATTTTATTCCTGTGCTTCCTAGATTACAGCTGGAGTATCTAGAGTAGCTGAGTATCAAACTTGAGATTGGAGAAAACGCACCATCATCTTAGCGCTACTTGTAAACATATGCATCGTAGACTCTACTCAGAACAAGGAACAATCTTAATCCTACATGATCCTATATCGTGGGATGAACAAGACTTTTCTAAGCAGTAACATGCCTTGCCAGGTATCTTTGTATACTATCTAAAAGAATCAGTGAATGATTTCATAAAAATAGCAGTTCTGTATGGAAGTTCAGAACACAGCAATATCTGCTTCTTTCAAAATATATGCCAGAAGGAGATTTTGTCAAGATTTTATTAAATGAACACATCAGCAAGTAGAACTAAAAAAAAAAAAAAAACACAAAAACCCACCACACGACAAGAAATAATCCCACACCTACACGGCTTCCTAGAGACGGTAGTCCACAATTCCTTTCAGAGTTATCTTTATCTATGTGGTTTTCAGGTTCCCAAGAAGCTTACATGTTTCTTTTTCCTCTGTGGTTTTTCCATTTTTATTATTTTAGTATGTAATGGACACCACAGGTGATCCTAGAGCAGAACTCCACATCTCAGCACGGCATAGCTGGAAGACTAAGTTCACTGGATGTCATCATCATCAAAGAGATCTTCAAAATCTAGTCAGAAAAATAAAGTAAAGTAAGTTAACTTTAAAAACTTAAACTGCTTTATAAATTCACACCATATACATATCACACAGGTATAGTTTTTCATTGTTTGGATTAAAGACAGAAATAAACACGAATTAAGTATGTAACAGTTACTGCACTATCAGTTACTAGAAGCATACCATTGGGGTGGGGGAAGAGAAAGAGATAAAAGGCAGACCCAAGTACGTAATCCCTACCACAAATGAACTAAACAAGCTACTTCACCCATACTATACAAGCTTTGCAATTAAATTCATCAAAGCAAAGTAAAGCTTAAAAAATGGCTGCATTTTTTTTTGTTTCTTTCTTAATGGATGCTTCAAGTAGCTATCACATTTAGAATGATTCAACCATGAAGCCCAGACTCCAGAACTAAACAAGTGCCTATTTTAAGCCTGGAACAGGTCTCAGATGCATACACTTCCGGAGAATTTTGGCCTTAATTCAGTGTGTCCTGGCACACATGCTTATGAACTTCACAGACTGACAGCTTCTGGTTTCACATTTATGGTTTACTGTCAAAAAATCACTTCCTTAAAAAAAAAAAAAAATCGAAGTTTTTCGCTGGGAAGAGGCTACTAACATTTCTCATCTTCCTCCTTACCCCCCGCCCCCAAATCCTAGTCTCACTCACAGTAGTGCAATATGGCTAGCTAAGGACCATTGCTCTAGTCAACTCTGGGAAGTACTCTAACTGGTTAGCTTTACATCTTCTTTGGCTGTTGAACATAGACTAGCAATGTAATTGAAGCCAAGTCTTTGTTCTCACAAAATTCAATCATTGCCATACAATAAACTGAGAGCTGATTTCTATTTAAGAGAGTCCCAAATTAGAATTGCAATAGGATAATATCTCAACTTTAGAGCAGAACTTCATGAAAATATTCGCTCCTGAATATACTGGCTTTTACAAAAGAGAGCTGCCTCTCTATTGCATAAAGTATATCAAAACTAAAGTCTTTTTTTTTTTTTAGGGTTTCTTTTCCCTTCTCTAAAAATCGAGTAGTTAGTGTGAAAAAGCTACTTCATCTCAGAAGTCACACCACAGTTTATGACATCAACATCACAACAGCAAACATTTAATAACTTATCTAAGACAGGCATTCACTCGCGCACATGAGCGGGAGCGCGTGTAGGTGACTTTCAATCGCTGAGAACCTACCGAAGCCAAAGTACCGTTTTACTTCACGTGCGTACACCCCGTGAGACAAAGGATTTACCTATAAAGTATCTACACAACACGCAAAGCTTGTCTTGCACACGAAACTCTGCGGGTTGCCGGGAGGCCGCGGGCGGCCCTTACCGTTGAAGAAGTCGGCGTGCACCGCTTTCTCGTTGGCGGCCAGGTCCATCAGCAGCCCCGTGCTTCCCCCTGCCTGAAGAC